TCATCCTAAATCCAAAACACAGCACTGTACCAGCTACTAGGAAGGAAATTAACTCTATCCCTGCCGAAACCAGGACAACCCTTCTTTTTTTTTTTTAATATTTTCAAGAAGTTTTCTGATTGTGACCTCTTGTAAAGGTAAAATAAACTTGAAAATTGAATGAAGTGCCTATGTGATATAATTAAGCAAATTGGAAAGGCAGGGTTTTATTCTTTAGCTTGTCCCAGTGTTCTTGAGCGCACTTAGTTTTACTTTCCCAATTCACTTCCCCTCTCTTACAGAACTCTGGCTATTTCAGCAACGTACCCCCAACCAAACTCTTCTTTCATTGAATTTTAGATCGGTGCACTTGCGCTTTTTTCCCTTTTTAAGCAAGTGGTTTAACGTTTCCTGGCTGCTGGCTAAAACAGCTTTTCAGCTACCCACTACCAAAATATCAGGAAACTGTGGCTGACGATTTTTTCCGTTCCTGACAATGGCAGAGAAGCAGCAACATTTTGGGGGGGGAAAAAAAAAATTCAACAGAGCTTACTATTTGAGGAATGAAAGATTTGAGTGTCTAGTGGAAGTCTGTGCCTCTGGCAACAGGCGGCAAACCTTGGTGAGGTGCCCAAGACTTTCTGGGCTGTGGGTGTTGAAGAGCCGACACTACTGCCACTTAATATTGAAACGTGATGAACAGAGCCATATTATTCACTGGAAATTTGCACAGTGGCCTTTTGGATTTCTCTGTGCCTACCTTGAAGAGCAGTTCCACTTCCTGCTTACCTAACCACCTGACTTTACGGCTGCTTATTGATGGGAAAAGCAACCAATTTCCTGACTTCTTAAAGCTCCAAGTCAAAGGGAAAAACCCAAAGTGTGAATCATTTAAGCCCTGGAGAATTTCAGTAAAAGAGCTGTTCTTTGCATCAAAGGAAATGAAAGCTATTGGCTCAGAACAGTGAGCTTGTAAGAAAACACTATATTTAAGTTTCCATTTAGAAAGAACGATAGCTTTATTTTATCAGTGTGTAATTACTGTAATATTTGAATCAGATCATGGCTGAATTTTCAGCTCAAATCCCAGAGTTTGTGGGGTTTTTCAAGTTCTGATTTGAACTTCAGCTTGATTTCTGTATATGGACTGTAGGTTAAAAAAGGCTTCTCCCTCAAATCATTTACATCCAATTAAATGTCTGTAACAGTATTTTTTTTTTTGCTTTAATCTCTTTTCAAAAGAGAAAATACAATATCCCTGAAAAATATCCCAAAGGTTATAGAGGCTAAGCGATCAAGCAATTTTAGAAATACAATGTTTCATTAAAGTTATTGTCATGAGTAAATAGTTAAAATACGATATATGGTGATACCTAAAAAAACAAAGAAATGTTCCTTGACAGTGCTAACAAAAAGGCAAATACGCAGACTCCAAAACGACAACATTAAATTATGGCTTAACTGAGGACATAAGTTTTACGCTATATGTAGGTGAAGCTTAAAAGGTCTATTTCATGTTTATGGAAAAATATGCAATTTTTTGTGGGACAGTTGGTAGCACTTAGTCTGTGTTTTATTAGGATTTGTCCAGCACTTATCTTAAGCTTGTCTTTGAGTTGTCCTATGCGCTGAGGAATCTAATTGTAAAAAAAGCTCTTGAGCTGCCCGTGATGAGTAAAGACTTGTTGCCATTTAGTGGGAGTCTGTCTTAGATGCGTATTTTGTCATACCAGCCTGGGGAGAGTTTGCCCTCGCCGGCGATCTTCATGCTGTCCCTGACTTCGCACCCTTGAATCCATCCAAGAGGTAAGGACGTGGATCGCTCCGTCGCAGCCGCGGCTGGGCATCGGGGCCGGGGGCGGGAGCTGGGTTTGGTGCTGCCGCTGCAGCCGCCGAGCGGCCAAGGACAGAGGTAGCTGCCGCTCTGAGGGCCGTGTCTCTCCCCCCGCGGCGGGGGCGCGCCG